TATTATAAAGTGTTACTGAAAATACTTTTAAGAATGTTGGATACTAGTACACTCTTAGAAATATAGGCGGTACTTTTTTAAAAGGTACACTTTTGTACCTAACAGGTCCACATTGGTACCTTAAGGGCATACTTTTGTATCTTTATGGCATGATAAGGTATGAATTTGCAGGGATGTCCTGATCAGGTTTTTTGCCCTCGAGTACAAGTCATTTGATTTTGAGTATCTACCGATACTATAACCTGATCTGATACTTCCTTAATATACATAAAAAATAATAAAGAAGAGTGAAGAAACAGATCCAGGATGGTATTTATGTTTTATTTAATTCACCTTATTTTAACATTTAGCAACTCTGTTTGTTGTGTTATAAGTAGCCTTTTCCTTTCCACCTCATGCAATCCCAAGTTTACATATCTCACAGTTTACTATGGCAATGGTGTCATCATCAACTTTATACTTCAGACATACTCGGTTATTGCCAGATCAGATATGGTTGTGACCAGAAGTTAACGATTATTATTTATAATATTTGTTAAATTTCCCATTAATTGTATTTTATTAACGTTTTTTCCAACCCCAACCCTAACCCCAACCATCTCAGCACTGTAAAAACAGTAGTTGTACAGAGTATTATTGATGTTATTTATTAAATTACCCAATAAATTGTATTTTATTAACGTCTACCCTCATACCAAGCCTAAACCCAACTGTCACAGTAGTCATACTGAGTAATATTTGTTATCTATTGAATTACCAAATAAACTGTATTTTATTAACGTCTACCCCCACCCAACCCTAGACCCAACCCTCACAGTATTGTACAATCAGTAGTTTTACCGGGTATTATGTTATTTATTAAATTACGCAGTAAATTGTAACGTCAACTCCTTCCCTAACCCTTAACCCAACCGTCACAGTAACCTAAAAACAGTAGTTGTACAGAGTATTATTTATATATTAAATTACCCTTTAAATTGTATTTTATTAACTTCTACCCCAACCCTAATCCCAACCATTGCAGTATTGTAAAAACAGTCGTCGTACTTAGTATTGTTTGTTATTTATTAAATTTCCCATTAATTGTAATTTATTAAAGTTTACCCCCCACCCCAAGCCAACTATAACATTACTGTAAAAACAGTAGTCGTACAAAGTATTATTTATGTTATTTATTAAATTACATAATACATTTTATTTTAATAATGTCTACCCCAAGCCCAACCCTTAACCCAATCATCACACTAAAGTAAAAACTGTAGTTGTACAGAGTGTTGTTTATTTATTAAATTACCCAATAAATTGTATTTAATTAATGTCTACCCCACCCCAACCCTAAACCCAACCCTTGCAGTATTGTAAAAACAGTCGTCGTAATGAGTATTATTTATGTTATTTATTAAATTACATAATACATTTTATTTTTTAATGTCTACCAACGCCCCAACCCTAAACCCAACCGTCACAATATTAATTATTGTTATACAGTTTCATAAATGCTGCTGAATCGATGTGCATATCGCACTTCCAGCTGGTCGTGTAACATATCTAAACTTTACCGACATTTTCGCACTTTCTGCTTCAAGCTGCTTCCGTGTTCTACTTTGCCGGCATTTAACCAATATCATCTCTTCAACAAAGTAATGTCATGCCGCATGCGTTGCTGTTTCTGTGTGAAGGCAAGAAATCTATGGTAAGAGGTCTATGTATGTGTGTATATATACACAGTGTATGTATGTGTGTGTGTGTATATATATATATATATATATATATATATATATATATATATATATATATATATATGTATGTATGTATGTATGTGTGTGTGTGTGTGTGTGTGTGTGTGTGTGTATACATATATACTATGTATATTTATGTGTATATATATATATATATATATATATATTTATGTATGTATGTATGTCCGTATGTATGTATATATATATATATGTATGTATATATATATTTATATATATATGTATGTATATATATATTTATATATATATATATTTATGTATGTATATATATATTTATATATATTTATGTATGTATATATATATTTATGTATGTATATATATATTTATATATATTTATGTATGTATATATTTATGTATGTATATATATATATATATATATATATATATATATATATATATATATATATATATATATTTATATGTATTTATATATATATATATATATATATATGTATTTATATGTATATATATGTATATATATATTCATTCGAGCCCTGATCAGCAGGCATCGTCCGATTCCAATCGCGTCTGAAACTGCGTGATCGGATATGGACATCCCTACACACTCGTACTTCATGGTACTATTTTGTCCTTTTTAAGGTCCAAAGATGGACCTGATAGGTACAGAAGTGTACCTTTTGGATAAAATACTGCCCCAGAGACTTTTCCGAGTATTTCTGAGAGTGTATCTAATCTATTGACAGCCATATTCAGAAACATATACTACGGAAGTCAGTGGCTATCAGTTTTTAACATTCTTCAAAATATCTTCTATTGTGTTCAACAGAAGAAACTCAAACCGTGGAGGATGAGTGAATTATGACAGAAAAAAACATTCATTTAAGCCACTCTAAGGCAGATTGTCACTGAGAGATTTAAAGTGCAGCCACTTTTACTATTGTGCAGAATATACTTGTGTTCAGGAATGTGTGTGATTTGGATGTTTTTGTAAGGGCAAAAGATTTCATCACCAAGCAGATAGCAGATTTCACAACAGATTCTGCGCTCTGCAGATTTGCTGTGTCAGCGTGTTATCTGGCTGGTTTGAAAGGGACTTCAGTGTGAGCCATGACTAGGGCCAGACAGAATCTGCGTACATTTTATGCTATTTCTGCGCAGAATTTTGTACAAAAACTGTGGATTGATGTTGAATTATTTTGGGTGTATCGTAACTAAAAACTTAATGTATAAAAATAAAAAAATAACACCTTTGTAGCTTGTATTTAGTGTTTTCAATGCAAATCCAATTAGATCCACTCATTTGGTAAACAAAGCAAGTTTCATATAATCTACTAAAAGCCACAAAAAACTTTACAAACTTTAGTGTAAATAAATCATATAGTCTTTTTCATATTAGTCAGTAATATTACTGAAATTATTTTAAAAATTGAATAAACTTACATTTACACACAAATACACAACTACATATTTCACAGCCATGTCACCCTGCAGCCCAAGACAGGTTACTCATTGAAGCTAAGCAGGGCTGAGCCTTGTCAGTACCTGTATGGGAGACCACATGGGAAAGCTAGGTTGCTGTGGAAGTGATGTTAGAGGTCAGCAGGGGGCGCTCAACCTGTGGTCTGTGTGAGTCCTAATGCCCCAGTAATGTGAAGGGGGCACTATACTGTCAGAGGGCGCTGTCTTTCGGATGAGACGTTAAACTTTGAGTGTATGATCATACACAATAAATGCGCTATAAATACACATTACATTACATAGATAAATAGACTTAATAATGGGCTATAAATCTGTGGAAATTTGTGGTCTTCTGCGTGTGCAGAGTCCGTTTGGCCCTAGCTATGACTTGTATATTATACATTTGTACACTAAATACATCAGACGATGTACCCATTTCTCTACTTTACTATAAATACTTGAGAAACTGAACTAAATACATTAAGCATTTGTAGTTTCAATCGAAACTTTTCAAGTCACATGGTTTGTTGAAGTTATTACTATTACTAAAAAAGTCAATTTTCAATTTGTCACCTACATAAAATCAAACAGGTGAGAACCTACATGGAAAGATGGAGCGTATTGCCCTACAAACAGTCAAATGTGAATGATTCAATTCAATTCAACTGTTTATTGTCATGTGCACAGTAAGGAAACACGTCTCCCTGTACAATGAGATTCTTACTTTGCCATCCACAGTGAAGTCATACACACAACATACACATCATACACAACATACACATAAATACACATATATACACAGACGTGACTGAAGATTGATTGTAAAATGTAAGTATATAAATATCTATGAAAGCAAACAATATGTAAACCTGATTTGAGTAATGAAACAGATGTAAACAGTGTACAGTGTTTTTTAATTTTTTTTTGTGCTTATTATGCAAAAAGTGCCTAGTGCAATTGGATTATGTGCAAAAAAAGAATAAAAAATAAAATCGTGCAAAATGGGATGGAGTATGTAGTGTTGTACTGAGCAGAAAAAGAGACTGTTATGTGCGTTGGTTATCCGTTTAGAAGTCTGATGGCTGATGGGAAGAAAGAGTTCCCAGTTATGATAGGTGATTTTTGTCAACAACAACAAAAGATATAGTGGCCACAATCTGAACCAGTTTACTTTAAACAAGGAAACAGTTTAATAAATGGAGAGGGCAGCCATCTTGTTTCCCACCTTCAATTGTAGACTTGGACAACTAAACCTATAACTCACACAGAACATATTAACATATATACAATTGAAGTCAGAATTATTAACCCTCTTTGAATTTTTTCTTTTTTAAATATTTCCCAAATGATGTTTAACAGATTTTCACAGTACGTCCTTGACCTTTTAAGGTCAAAATGTTTAGCCACTTTAAGCTATTTTTTGTTTTGATAGTCTACAGATCAAACCATCATTGTACAACAACTTGTCTAATTACCATAACCTGCCTAGTTAACCTATTTCACCTAGTTAAGCCTTTAAATGTCACTTTAAGCTGTATAGAAGTGTCTTGAAATATATCGAGTCAAATATTATTTACTACCATCATGGCAAAAATAATATAATCCAGTTATTAAAGATGTTATTAAAACTATTATGTCTAGAAATGTGTTCAAATTTTTTTTAAACAGAAATTGGGTAAAAAATAAACGGGGGCTAATTATTCAGATTTCAACTGTACATGTCTAACATGGATGAAGGACACTGATTATTTATGCATTTTCTATTATTTCATCATATCCACTTACTAACCTATATACTGTATGACCTCTTCTGACCCTGCACAGGGAGCTGTACCTGCTGGACTCACGAGTGGTATGGGCTGCAGAAGAGGGATGGCTGGTCTTTGACCTCACGGTCACCAGTAACCACTGGGTTATAAACCCAGGTCAGAACTTAGGACTGCAGCTCTTAGTGGAGACCTCACATGGTGAGCAACTTCAGATATCAAGATACCTTTATAACTCATCCTGTCAAACTACCACTCTAAATCATCATTTGGCAGAATTGTGCTTCAACGGCTTTGAGAAAGTTAAAATTACCTTACTCTAGTTTCATTTATACATTTTTTGTGGGGGGTTGAGGGTATATGTGAGGTCACACTTAATTTTGATGGTCCAGTTGTTGAATTTTAGTTACATTTGCATCTACATGTCAACTAATTCTCATTAGATTATAAGTAGACTGTTAGGTTGAGGTTAGGGTTAGTGTACGTTGACTTGTACTTGCAAAGTTTCTTATAGTCAGTTAAATGTCTGTTGAAGGAGCAGTATCAGCAGATATTAAGCAGTCTACCAATACTCAAATGGACCATCAAAATAAAGTGTTACCATGTGTGAAAACATCAACCTATACTGTTCTATATAGATCAGCTATACTACTAGAATAACAAAATAACATTTCATGAATAGGTTCAAGAGTAAAATATCTTGAAGAGCTAAGGCTGATTTATACTTCTGCATCAAGCGCACGCGTCTGCAAACAATTTATCTTCTCAATGACATACACAGATGAATTGCTCATCACAAAACTAGCAACGTGAGCTAACAAAATCAGTTTGGTTAGTTTTGATTTCTCTCAACTTTGGCCTGCGGGTCCTACTTTTGGCATCTCTGTTTTAGATGAAACCCAAGTTACTAATCCGCCATAGAGAGCAATGGTCACAACATTTAAAGTCTAGAAGAGGGACCAAAACATTGTCAATACATTCCATGTGACTTTAGAAGTTCAAATGTAACCAAACAAAGCTCCAAGAACACTTTATATTAGGATAAACAAATGTGGTCTGAGCCACTTTTTTTTAGGATTAAACATTACCCCTGTTGGTCCCACTTTATATTAAGTGTCCTTAACTACTATGTACTTACATCAAAAAAATAAAAACAATGTACTTACTGTGTTTATAATGTGTTTGAGAACACTTGTGGTGCTTTTGAGTTGGGATAGAGGTTGGGTTATGGACAGGTTTGGTGGCATGGGTAGGTTTAAGGGTGGGTTAAGGTGTAAGGGATGGTCAACAGTGTATTTACAAATGTAGTTACAAAAGTTAATTACAGATGTAATTACATACATGTATTTAATCAAGAATAAGTACACAGTAAATACGTTTATTTACACAATAAGTACATTGTAACAAACTATTAGTTCCTATGTAAGTACATATTAGTTAAGGCCACTTAATATAAAGTGGGACCCTCCCGTTTTGAATCTGCCACTGAGTTAACACATAGACGTTTGTAGCTCCATTCTCTTTCGAAAAGAGCCTAATCTCATTCATTCATTATTTTTTCTTAGGCTTAGTCCCTTATTTATCAGAGGTCACTACAGCAGAATGAACTGCCAACTATTCCAGCATATGTTTTAAGCATTGCATAACCTTCCAGCCTCAACACATTACTGGGAAACACCCATACACTCTAGCATTCAGAAATTAGGTATTTTTAGCTTAAACTTCACTCTAGGGACATCAGAGATTTATTTAAGATCTTGTAAAAAGGGGCATAATAGGACCCCTTTTAAACCTAAAGTCATCATGCAACTCACTGTCGACCTCTATAGGTGCAAGAATGAACCCAAGAAGAGCTGGCCTGGTGGGCAGCAGTGGAGCTCAGAATAAGCAGCCGTTTATGGTGGCGTTTTTGAAAGCATCAGGAATCCACCTCCGCAGTGTCCGCTCGGCATCAGGAGGCAAACAGAAGGGTCATCACCGCACAAAAAACGCCAAACCTGGCGCTGCACACAGCCAGGTGGCTTTAAAAACAGCTGAAGCCACAGGTGATGCTTCTCACAATTACATGTTATCTTGCGTTATTTCATTTTTACTTTCAAATATTCTATATTTAATAAACCTTCCACCTGTTGTATGCAGAGGGTGCCAGCATAGATCCCAAACAGGGCTGCAAAAAGCATGAACTCTACGTCAGCTTCAGAGATCTGGGATGGCAGGTGACGGATACGTATATATACTTTTTTTTCGTTGTATGCCTTTTGTATGACTTCTAAACCTTCTCATCTGTCTTGTGCTTTCAGGACTGGATCATCGCCCCAGAGGGTTATGCCGCGTACTACTGTGAGGGCGAATGTGTGTTCCCTTTGAACTCTTATATGAACGCCACAAACCATGCTATTGTACAGACACTGGTGAGTTCCACAGACATGTTCTCGACTAAAAGAAGAGTTCTCATATGATCCAACTCATATTATTGTTTTTTTGATAATACGTGGGGTTCAAATTTGACCAAAACAGAGCACAATTAAATTGTTTACTTAGTCTCAAATCTAAAGTTCATTGCATACAGCGTCCAAATTATTCATTTTTGAAGTTTCCGCGCGTAAAATCAATTAATTTGATCTCACGTAGTGTCAATCTCATTTACAAACTTCCTCCGAAACTTTCATCTGGCATAAAGCAATTCACCTCTTAAGTACTCCTAATATCTGTTCAGGATTAATTAGCCGGTAGCTAGCTTGCCCTAGGTTGCTCATGTGAGCTAAGCAGGGTTGTGCCTGGTCAGTACCTGGATGTGAGACCACATGGGAAAGCTAGGTTGCTGCTGGAAGTAGTGTTAGTGAGAGTGTTGTACTGGAGGCCAGCCAGTAGGTGCTCTGACCTCTAAAGGTGCTCTAGTGACAGATGCTAGAGGCCATGGTCTTTAGCCTCCTTGTTAGAGCAACTGACTCCTATGCGGAAGGTCACCGGTTCGATCCCAGCTTGGATTGTGTGGTGTAGCACCGGCGGGGTTAAATTGGTGCCGTGACCTGGATGGGAGTGAGGTTTAGGGGAGGTGAGAGTAACGGAGGCCAGCCAGTAGGTGCTGTGCAGGTAAACCTCACTCCTCTGACCTCTAAAGGTGCTCTAGCGACAGATGGCTATGGTCTTTAGCCTCCTTGGTAGAGCAACCGACTCCCATGCGGAAGGTTGCCAGTTCGCTCGGAGTGGGTTGGGTGGCGTAGGACCAGCGGGGTTACACTAGCAGTGGGTGCCCAACCTGTGGTCTGTGTGGGTCCTAATGCCCCAGTATAGTGATGGGGACTCTATACTAGAGATCTGCACGAGACTAAATTTTGAATCCCGCACCCGCCAGGTTTTAGCCCGAACACGACCGCTCCCGCTTATATTAAGCACTTGTTATCACCCAGCTATACAGTCCAGACAGCCTATAACAAGCTGTCTGTATAAACACACACACACACACAGCACCAAGCACACACACACAGACAAAGCTCTCTCTCTCTCATTCGCGCGCGCGCGCCCACTAACACACACACACGTAAGCACCAAGCACACACACAGGCAAAGCTCTCTCTCTCTCATTCGCGGCGCGCGCACTAACACAAACACACACACATAAGCACCAAGCACACACACAAGCAAGGCTCTCTCTCAATCATTCGCGCACACACACACACATACACACACACACACACACACACACAGCAACAAACAAGCTAAACACAGCTTAGCGCTATTTCATTTACACACATACATACGCATGCTCGCTCGGGAGTCAGGAGCGATATTGCTAGACAGCCCGCTCCAGTCCCAAATTAAACCCGTTACCGACCACTCCCGCTATTTATTCGGAAATTTATATTCGCGCTACAGAAATCTGGTCGGGTCAGCCGCGGGAATGCAGACCTCTACTCTATACTGCTCAGTGAGCGCCGTCTTTTGAATGACAAGCTATACTGAGGTCCCTACTCTTTGTGGTCGTTAAAAATCCCAGGGTATCCTTTAAAAAAAAAACAGTAGGGGTTTAACCCAAATTTGCCCACTGGTCTCCATCCATCATGGCCTCCCAACTATTTCCATATCTTGGTTGGATTCATCACTCTGTCTCCTCTTCCCCATTCAGCTGGTGTGTGGTCTGGCGCAAAATGGCGCATCATGTGGATCCTGCACACTGGTGGTGGATGAGGAGATTCAACTCAATGTGTGAAGCGCGTTGAGTGTCAAGAAAAGCATTTCCTGATCTCTTGAAATAAACATTGAATTTTGAGATCATCTCATGCAGGTTTTGATAAGGGGGTGAACTCTCCCTCCTCTTATAGACTATAGGTATACAAAGACTGTTCACTTGCATTGCAATGAATGGGGAAAAGTGCAATACTCATTATGGCTGCCACAGTGAAGAAAGTCAGTTGTTGCTAAAAGGGATACAGCCAAGCCAGAAGTTAAGGAGAATTAATTATACGTTTAATTAAATTATTTATTAATTATATTTTATTAACATCCACCCCTACCCGACCATAAACAGAATTATAGGGGTATAACAAATATTTTTGGAAGAAAAAGAAGACGTGAGCCTCCATACTAGCCCAAAATAAGGGAAATGAATGAACTTGCACATGTGCGCCTGAAATTTGTTTTCGTCTTGGTAGAAATTTTCAGATGTTTCAGAGGTTTTTGCATCTGAACTCTACGTATTTACTTGTACTCCATGATCATCTTCAAATCATGTGTTGTTGTTTTTTTCCTAGGTTCATTTCATAAACCCTGAAACTGTCCCGAAGCCCTGCTGCGCTCCAACTCAGCTGCACGGAATCTCAGTTTTGTACTTCGATGACAGCTCCAACGTAATATTGAAAAAGTACCGCAACATGGTCGTCAGAGCCTGCGGATGCCACTAATCACTACCTCTACCCTCACCAGAGGGATTCAACAAGGGATTTAAAGACTTGTATTCTTGATTATCAAGAGCGCAGAGAGAATACGAGACTCGCTGCTGGACCCAAACTGGACTTCTTCATATGAAGCGGATAAGACAAAACTCAAAACTCCTAGAACACAGCTGAGTGTGTGTTGTGTCTGGCTTTCATTTCTGCACAGAGAGCCAAGTTTAAAATATCAAAAAGGACATAAGCAGATACAGAGAGAAAATAAAAGAGATTTAACCAGACTGATCAGGGAAGATGCAGTGGATTTAAGCATAATGCTATCGTATTTCATAAACCACTTGACTTGATTTCTGAAAGAATAATACCTTTTAAAAAGTCTGAGACCACTAGTTGAAATGTTTTTGTTTTGGAAAGAAAGCTGCAGGCTTCATGCACTCAAGAACAATGTAGTCCAAGCTCTGTTTATGTACACTCACTGGCCACTTTATTAGGTACACCTTACTAGAACCCGGTTGGACCACCTTTTGCCTTCAGAACTGCCTTAATTTTTTTGGCATAGATTCAATAAGATACTGGAAATATTCTTTAAAGATTTTGCTCCATGTTGACATGATAGCATCACGCAGTTGCTGCTGATTTGTTGGCTGCACATCCATGATGCGAATCTCCCGTTCCACCACACCCCAAAGGTGCTCTATTGGATTGAGCTATGGTGACTGTGGAGGCCATTTGAGTACAGTGAACTCGTTGTCATGTTCAAGGAACCAGTCTGAGATGGTTCACACTTTATGATATGGCGTGTTATCCTGCTGGAAGTAGCCATCAGAAGATGGGTACACTGTGGTCATAAAGAGATGGACATGGTCAGCAACAATACTCGGGTAGGCTCTAGTGTTGTCACAATGCTCAATTGGTACTAATGTGCCCAAAGTGTGCCAAGAAAAAATCCCCCACATCATTACACCACCATCACCAGCCTGAACCATTGATTCAAGGCAGGATGGATCCATGCTTTCATGTTGTTGACGCCAAATTATTTGCTGATGTAGCCCATCCGCTTCAAAGTGTTTTAAGTGTTTAGAGATGCTCTTCTGCATGTCTCTGTTGTAACGAGTTGTTATTTGGGTTCAGCTCAAACCAGTCTGGCCATTCACCTCTGATCTCTGGCATCAACAAGGCATTTGCGCCCACAGACCTGCCACTCACTGGATATTTTCTCTTTTTCAGACCATTCTCTGTAAACCCTAGAGATGGTTGTGCATGAAAATCAAAGTAAATCAGCAGTTTCTGAAATACTCCGACCAGCCCGTCTGGCACAAACAACCATGCTACATTCAAAGTCTCTTAAATCCCCTTTTTTCCCCATTCTGATGCTCGGTTTGAACTGCAGCAGATCCTCTTGACCATGTCTACATGCCTAAATGCATTGGACAGGTGTACCTAATAAAGTGGCCGGTAAGTGTATATGGCCAAGTTATACATATATATGTCTTCTATTCTTTAGACTGTACTAGATGCAAGATAAAAACCTAAATTATGGTTGTCCGTTGTGATTGTTTTCAATTTCACTCTTTCTGGACACTCGGCAAATCCCCTCACAGATGTTCAGCACTCGATTTAACATTATTGCAGAACATATGAAGCCCAGCTCTGTCCTGGCGTCACTTTGGTTTCATCACACAGTACATGAAAGAACACATGTTTTCTCTCAGCAGTTATCAGTCAATCTAGTCAATAGAAAGATGGCCTTTCAGGGGTTCAGAAGAGTCCAGCTCATTGTTTGGGAGAAGCTTCATTGCTGATGGATTTAGTGTGGAAATGTCAGTCACTAATAACTGATAATTCTGTTCCTATATTATGCAAGATTTCTGTAAATATGTGCATATGTATATACGAATTGCATAAACTTTTATTGATTCACATGGTATGTTTTAATTCATTTACATTTTTGAAATACATCTATAAAAAGCCTTTCTCTCTTCATGTAGAGTACACATTTTCTGATCACGCACACCACCAAATCATACTAAATGAGGAAAAACATATAGGACTACACCACAATTACCAATTCTGTGAGAAACAATTAGTAAATCTGTATTGAGAAAGTTAATTTTGAAAGTAAAGCTGCGGTCACATTAGAGTTTGAGCGTGTGATATTCTGTCATGCGGCGCTATGAAAAGTGGCGGGATTAATCAAGCTTATTAGACATTTAAAAAAGCGAGCGATTGCTCTGTATTTTAAACTTCTGTCCAGAGAGGTCATGTTTTGATCCTCGATCGGTCTCATGCAGTCAAGTGATGCGATTTCACAGGTCAGAGTTCACCAAGCTTGAACTTTGCACTGCAGCACCCTGCAAAACTTGACGCATGACCATGCGTTTCCGGTCTGACACATTGGATGGAAGTCTATAGAAGGAAAAGCCCAGTGTGACCGCAGCTTAATGCTTTACTAAGTTACTCCCCCCAAAAACTTGTGATACTTTTTATGGTAAGTAACTACAATAGGCTACGTTACTTTAGTGTTATTTCCGTTACATTTGATAAGGCTTTAAAGTAACTCAAATACTAATACTCAGTTTTTAGAAGTAATAAGTGGTGTAACGGATCACAAATCTCACAGGTCGGGCCATGTTATGGTTTTTTAGTCACGGATTTGACAATTTTTTTGGATCAGACACTAAGGAGCGGAGACAAATGTAATTTGTTTTCCGTTTATTACAAAAACAGCACTGCAAGACACTTTTGGATTTAACAAACACAACCTAGAAGCTGTAATTTTATCAAAAATAAAATGAAGAAATAATCAGCTGAATAAAAACAAATTGTAAAATATTCAGTGTTGTGAATAATTCACTGTTACTACTGTTGCTGATAACGCTAAATGTATAAATTTACATAATAATTTATACAATTCATATTTATTTTTAGTCTCATTTTTAATAAATGATTTAGTTCTTCACTCATAAAACATCATGTTCATTGCTAGATGATCCTTTTTTATTTTACAGTAGCATATTTAATGACTGGTTGTCGCCACCTATTGGTTAAATAATGTAATTGCTGCCTGCAGTTTTCCTTTTTGAGCGTCAAGTTAAATGCATATGATGGTGATTTTAATCTTTATCGTAAACCAGGGCCGGAGTGGGACTCTTTTTCAGCCCTGGAGTTTCAAGCCTTAGACCGGCCCACCTCTGTTCACCACTGACTATATTAAAATAAGGTCATTTTCAATTCAGTTTCTAATTACACTATAACGTCTTTTTTTGAGAAAACAGCTGTTTTAGAACTTCAAATGTTCAACAACCCTTACAGTATTATATGTCTAACCAATAAAAATGAAAAAAAAAATTTACCCTCAGACGAGGTCCAAACCCGGGTTGGTGGCATCATAATTTAACGTGCTAACCACTGTACCACATCAACTGTACGTTGAAAGACTTATCTTATTACGAGAAAATAGATAAAAAGAGCAGAGCTGCGGTAAAATAATGAATAAGAAGGCTGTGGTCGAGTAAATAAATTAATTATTTTTAAAAAGTGTGACTGCTGAGAGCAACAGATTCTGGAGCTAGGAACACCAGCCCTCGCGGCCAAAAAACAGACCGGCCCACCTGGAATTCTCCCGGTCCTCCCGATTAGCCAATCCGGGCCTGTCGTAAACATTCAGATTTAAATGCAGTGATTTGAAGGATTAATAATCGTATGCAAATCACCATCATTTATAATTTGTTGCGTGGGTGTTGAGATCCTGATCTTTCAATGATTAATTGTGCAGCTTACACTGAATGCATTAATGCAGGCTAAATAATTAGTGACAGAAAACACCTTTAATAATCTAAGAAACCCACCACATCCCATATAACCCACCACAACTTCTTTCTCCGTCATTATATTTTACATGAAAGCCTAAATGCTTTCATACATGCGATTTGAATGACACGAGATTCAAATTTAGGATCAACGTACAAGTAAAAAAAAAAAAAACCTAGAACACCCTAGCAACCGTCTAGCAACCACTCAGAACACCTTAGCAATCAGTCAATACACTCTAGCAAAACCTTAGAGAACTTTTTTTTTTTGAGAACTTTTCACTCATATTATTAGCATTTAACACTGAATAAAGCACATAAGGTGTACCTGAGGTGATCGTTGTCAGTTTTCTATTCGCCAGCTTATAACTAATATATCAATCCGAGGTGTTGGTCATGAGAAAAACTCATTTTAACATGGAAAATATTCCTTCTATCGAGTGCCGTTGCTTTTAAACAAGGTTTAAATCCCTCGCTCATGTCCTCAATCTGGCAACCTGCACTTGCATTTGTTTTGATCCAGGAGTGCAATACCTAGTTCAACCACTGGGTGTCAAGCGTACATACTGCACCTTTAAATTTGATTTGAAGAGACCTGCAGAAAGCCTGTGTATATAAACGTAAAAATCAGTGTATTGAGAATGTCCTCATTTAGATCGAGAAGTAAACATGTTTGTGTGTCTGGAAACTCTTCCCGTGGATCAGTGTTATCAATAAGTCCACCTGCAGTATCAGAGTAATCCGTAGCTCATTCTTGTTTGTGAAAAGAAGCCATGCCAGCAGGTGGGCGGTATCTGGGGAAGGCATTTGGTTGTGATCTGAACATATGAAGTAAATCAAGCGATACAATGAATTGAATCAAACTCTCTGAATAGGAGCAGGTGTGATCGATTTTGGCAGATGAAACTGTGACCCAGGCAGCTGTTCCCAATCACACTGATACTAATACAATACAACAGTGTAGCTGTGTGCGTTACTGAGAGGCTCCAGTGGTGGAAAAGATGACCTTCAACGCCAGATGTTTGGAGAATTATAAACAGTGTTTAAGCCATATACTGTCACAAACAGCAAAGAAGAGCAGAGCAGCAGAAGGAATATGGGAATATCCATATAGGAGAAACAAAAGTAGCATAACAGATTCAACAATCAAGTAAAACAACGTGGCAGGAAGTATTCAGCACTGTTAAGCCTGGTTTATACTTCTGCGTCAAGTGACCGGCATAACCATCGGCGCATGCAACGCCCGTAGCTGTGCATTTATACTTCTACCCGCTGTCTCTGTTGGTCTGCATTAACACTTCCGGAACGCTAGTTGGCAGCGAGGTGTTAATGTTGCTCTGTGTCGAGTTTCTTTGCTGCTGTTTTGCTTTTCCTGAACACTTCCTGGATGTACAAGTGGCTCAAACTCGCTTATTTTGAGGCTGTAACCGGCCGACGTGCAACAACTTTAACCATGAGGTAAACACAAAACAAAACTTTCCATCCCAACTTCTTCACGGGACTCCACACTTGTAAACAATAGCGCCATCTGGCTCGCACGGGTCTCGGTCCCGCCCACACTCGTCAGCAATACCAAGCCGACAAATAACAGAGCTTGCGTTACGCATCGTTGCGATGTGTAGTTACATTTTTTTGAGAGGTGAGCGTCAGTGACGCCGATGGCCACAGCGTAGGGCTATGGGTCAACGGGTAGGCTGCGCCGTAGCATACGCGTGTGCTTGACGCATAAGTATTGACCTTATTCTAAAATGCGGAAGTGCGCCTGTTTTCGCGATTGTCTTAGAACTTCCGATTCAGTCGCCTATGGGAGAAATGACTAGGAATAATAAACGGCAGAAAATGGCCAAACTACTTGCTCAACAAACAAATGTTTGCATGACTACACAGACCAAGTAGCATAATATAATAAGAAAATATTAAATTGCAACATCAAGCAGCGTAACGAGCAGTTGTTAACGTCAAAAAATGAATGGAAGTGAATGTGACCGGAAGTCGCGAGACAAAAAGATTCAAATGGCAGCGCCCGCTCGACAGCTGAGAATAATCAGCCTTAAAACACGTCTCCCACCAGTGCTAATAAACAGTCATATCACACTGCTTGCTCATTTATACAACAGTTCTGTCTGGTTCTCTAATCTGATTAGCAATTAGCCGTGCAATGTTCTAGTAGCATCAGCACTCGTCCAGAGCCATAGAGAATATATTTATTCCTCATTTGATCATTTAATTCTGCATTAAATGTGATTTAAGCAGAATCTGTTGTTGAACAGAACAATTAAAAATTACTTTTAAATTCTCAAAAACACTTTTGATTCATTTAATACACTCTAGCTTGAAAAAATCTTCACAAATCATTTCAATGACCCCAAATTCTAAAACAGTAACTGATTTATTAACAGTGCAGTTAAATGTACAAACACTAATTTGTGAAAGGATTCAGTTACAATGTACAGCAGTGGTCACCAAACTTGTTCCTGGAGGGCCGGTGTCCTGCAGATTTTAGCTCCAACCCTAATCAAACACACCCGAACAAGCTAATCAAGGTCTTACTAGGTATGCTTGAAACATCCAGGCGGGTGTGTTGAGGCAAGTTGGAGCTAAACCCTGCAGGGACACCGGCCCTCCAGGACCGAGATTGGTGACCCCTGATGTACAGACTACAGTGCCAATAATAATGACAATAATAACAGTAAACTGACTGCAATTCTCTTAAAAAAAAAAATTCTAGAAAATATCATTCAGTCTTTCATTTTTTTAATCAGTAGTGTGGTGTATCTTGGAAATCTCCCTGAGCTCTGGAGCTGTGAAGCGTCTTTTTCTTGATGGATCTTTTATCTGCAGCGTGGGCTTGTTTTCAGCATGACTGCTCAGGATCAAGGGATCTTCACCCACCTCATTTCGGCTGCGATTGGCCAGCTCTGATGAAGAGGCGGGCATACGTGTCAGTGCCAGGCACAAGTCACCCACCGCTAACTGGCGGCACTGTAGTTTGCAATTTTGACTTGTGTGCTGAGGGTTACAGGAGGACCAGCCGTGGCCATAAACGAAGAAGGGCATTCCTTCACTCACCTCCAAAGACAACTGCAGAGGGAATGGTAATATTTTAAAGAAATATGTCAACTGTGTATTACTGCCTACACTGGGTTCAACACAATTGATTTGGGTTGAGACAAAATAAAGGAATTAAGTTAACTTAGTATTTGTTTTTATTAATTTAAGTGGATTGAATATAAAACAAATGTTTGCGTTGTGAAAAAATTCAGCGCGTTTTCACAAATTGTTTGTGTTGAGAACATGCAGTGTTTTAATAAATTGTTTGTGTTGTGAGAAAATGCAGTGCATTTTCGTAAATAGTTTGCATTGTGAGAAAATGCAGCGTGCTTTCGTAAATTGTTTGCAGTGTGAGAAAATGCAGCGTGTTTTTGTAAATTGTTTGCAGTGTGAGAAAATGCAGCGTGCTTTCGTAAACTGTTTGCATTGTTGGAAAATGCATTTATTTTAAAAAAACGTGTTTGTGTTGTGAGGATTTGCAGCAAGTGAGCCGTTAAACGGACAAAGATCTTTTTTTTAATTTGCTGGTGTTTTTTGTAATTGCACGATGTTGAAAAAAAAATCTGACATTGCAATATTTTATTTTGCTGCGATATGAATATGATTTCGGCAGATTGCTTGAATAACTCTATTTGGAACAAAATCATTAACTTTAATTGGAATAATCTTGTAGAGAAGTGAATCAAAGAAATCGCAAGAATAAATAAGTAAGATTACATAAAAGTGAAATAAGTAGTCAGACATTCAGGTACATTAATACAATATGATATTTTGCCTCTGATAATGATAGATCATGATATCAGCAATATATCACAAGAAAATTATCCACAATATATCATGATATTTGTAAATGGAGAGGCAAAAATGCATGAAAAAGTAGTTCTTTTTATTAACAGCTCATATATTTCTGAAAATTGCAACATTGATATATGTTCAATCCGCCATTATGAGAAGCGCCACCTCATGCAAATCGCTATTTTGTCCTGCCTCTATTATTGAATGATCAAATGTAATGTAAACACTGTACAATTCTTCATTGCTGATTAGCAATAATAGTCCTAACTCCACATTGCATGTCCTGCGATGTGACTATTGCGAATGCACACATTGCCATATTGATGATGAAATTATATATTGTGCATAAATGCTAAGATATACTACAGAATGTAGAAAATCAACTTCCATAGGATGTGTTTTTTCTATTGTGGATAACGTGAATGGTTACCGGGTTCCAACATTCTTCAAAATATCTTCTTTTGTGTTCAACAGAACATCCAAACAAATCAAACTTGTTTAAACAAGTCAATGCTGAGTAAATAATAACAGAATTGCCGTATTTGCGTGAACTATTCCTTTAAAACATGTCTTTACATTGTCTATATCAGATATTTAACTTATTTTTTTATTCAGTATGTGTGTGTGTTTGTGCTTACCTGCGAGTAGTCATGCTCAATCTGCACACGTAAACTAGAGAGCGCAGGTGTGTGTGACGGTATGATCTTCAACACAGTGAAACGCTTCAGCATCAGCTCGGGGTGTAACTGAGCACACAGCTCCAAATCCTCTGTCCTCAAATCCTCCACCCGCTTCAGGCGACCACCCTCCAGCTCCACCAAAGACCCTTCAACAAAGCGACGGAGAACCCACAGCGCCGAAGACGAGGATTTAACGTGTGCGTTTCTGCTGCGTTTTTGTGCATCTCCACTCCAGAGCAGCAGGGGGAGCCCTTCGCTTGTTTTCTTTTCAGCCCCAGCATCATTACTGAAACCAAGCAGGTGGTGCTGGCTGTGCTCTGAGTTGTATTTAAAAAGTTCTTTACTTGGATCAGCATGTAAGAGAGAACCTAAAAGTGGGTTAGTTTTAACATAATATCTCTCACAGTCTCTTTTGGAGCTGACTCTCTGGCTCTGTGGTTCTTGGTAGCAGTGTGAATACCTCAGTCTGTGCTTTTGCATGCCTGTTTGGGTTTCCTCCATTGGAAAATCTCTTCTTAAAACATCCCTGTTAACTCCTCTATAGAAATATGAAGCCGGCAGTGTGTCAGTTTGTGGATTACGCAGCTTTCTAAAGCCTTTGACAAGTCCATATCCTGCTTCTGGAGTGAAATACCTCCAGTATGAAGGTCCTCTTCCAAAATGCAGCATATTTGGATCAGTCACAAGTAATTCTGACGAAGGTGGAAGATATCTACTGTTGGAAGAGTTTAGACTTAGAGAAGAGTGGGTCTGAGCTGCTCCAAAACGAAGGTCCGGACTTACACGAGAGCCTAAATCACACCTGTAAGTATACAAGTTGTATGCCTCTCTAACAGCATCAGGTGTGTACTCTTGTCTTGGTCTTTTGAATATTATATCCTGATTCCAAAAGGGTGACGGGGTCTTAAAAATGGGTTCTGGTAACTGTTCATTACAGCTTGGTAAAGAGTCCCATTTTTCTAAAATAGAGGAACTCATGTTTTCTTTTTTAATGAGTACAGCAAATGTCTGCAGTATCCTGTATTGGGTAAAAAAGTAAAATATTACAATTTTAGGCCTATTTTACTATTTAAAAAATTAAGAAATAGCCTAACATGTTGGCTACTTACATATTACTTAAAATGTAACAACACATATTTTTTAAAAGTCACTTAAGATTATAATATGTTACTTGTTTTCTCCAATATTAGCAGGATCACATTTGATTTAAATGTTGTATTGTTCATTTTTCTGTCTTAATTATTGATTTTAGAGAAGTGCAATTAGTAAAAGGTATAAAATGATTTGATATGTTAACAGCGAACATTGTAAAAGTTTTTTTTTTTTTTTGGAGCAAAATTAGGAGTGTATAGTTTTGTTTGGGTTGTTGCGATGTAAAAATAGTTTTTTGGATTCAAAAGAATCTTGACTTGGTGGTTTCCAGTTCCACGATTTTCTGAAAAAGACAAAAAAGAGAGTGAAATACTCATAATAATGTATGATCAGTTGATAGTGAAAGCTAAATTTTGGCAGCTACTAGACAACATTATGATGTGAACTGCAAAAAACATTTAATAAATTAAACGAAGTATTATGTAGGCTAAATTGCCCGTAGTGTATGAGTGTGTGTGTGTGAATGAGTTTGTGTGGATGTTTCCCAGATGGGCTGGAAGGGCATCTGCTGCATAAAAAAAATGTGCTGGATAAGTTGGCGGTTCATTCCGCTGTGGCGACCCTGGATTAATAAAGGGACTAAGCTGGAAAAAAAATGAATGTGTAATGTCTTTTTTGTTTAAAATCATTCTTTATATAAAACATTGATTTTAATGTTAGTTTATCTTTATACTCTTTATATATAAGCAGTTCCATGCAAAGTCAACCTTGCCATGAAAAAAAAAACAGCAATATACGGAAACCGCTTCTGCATTTTTTGTGTAGGCAAGTATTTTACAGTACTTTAAAATACTCAAAAATGTATGTCAATGTTGTCAGACTAATATATTTAGTATAACCAAAGTCACACAAGTGGCAATTTCACATCGGTCACATCCATCACGACACCTTTTCCTCGTAAATGCAAAAATATTAAATGAAATAAGTCAATTTATGTTTTATAGAGAGGCGACTCTTCTCCTTATGATCATCATTACTTCTTTTGTGCAGTTTAGTTCACAGAATGTCTACAAAGTATGTTGTTTACTGCAAACTTGCAAACTTTTGTGGTCACATCCATAACGCATGTTTATTTCCCTCATTTAAAGTACAAAGCATGTTTATACACTGATATTTTTCTGTTCCCTTAACTCTGTGTCTAGTTGTTCTGAAAACTATAAACAGATGTTTCAATGTAATATTAGCATATACTTTCTATGTGAATTAATGTTTTGAGTACTGCAAATGTCACATCCATATCGCAGAAATTGCTCATATATAGTTTGTTAGAGTTAATTAAGTATAATAGAATTTAAAAAAAGACTTTTTAAGACTAAATTATTAAATTATTTTGTTAACAACTAGAAGTCAAGTTATTATTTGTTGTTCTTAAAACTTGGATAGGCTACAAGACTTTTGTCAGGTAGTGAACACTCCGCGAGCTGTCACTGGGGTGGTACCTTTAAAAAAAAGCAAATTTGTGCATAAAGGGTCCATGTTAATACCTCAATGGAACATATTAGTACCTAAGAAGTACAAAAGTGTTCCTCTTAAAATTTGTATATATGCTTTTGAGGTACCAGTATGGACCCTTTAAGTACAAATGTGTACCTTTTGAAAAGGTACCACCCCAGTGACAACTTGCGTACCTTCATTTATGAGAGTGTATGTTTCTCTAAATAGCATGGTGGTTTGATTTTCCACCACAGAATGAGTGCTTTTTTATTCTTGGAAACATATCAATTTTTCCAATTCAATGACGGTGGTTCGTTTCTTTTAGTGTTAGTTATGAAAATGTTTTTTTTTTTGACCAACCGTTTTAGTCATAGTTTCAATGTTCATTTACTAAAATCAAAGTCTTGTGTTTTCCCTCTGAATATCACGTCACACTTATATTACTTAAAAAAAATTGCATCTGAATTAGGCATGATATTGGAAAAATCGGACATCGCAACATTCTATTTTACTGCAATATATATTGCGATACGCGTACTCTATCTATACAATTTCACCAAATGATTGAATAGCACTAATTGGAAAGAATCAGCAGTTTAAGATTCAATTCTCGCTATTAGCAAACCAATAAACATGTCTTTTGCTTCAATAAACTCCTAATTTGCTCCTTATTAATATTATTAATATATAATACTAAGGTAGTTTTGGTATTGAGTTAGGGATGTAGAATAAGATCATGCAGAATATAGTACTAATAAGCAGCCAATATCTCAACAACATGCATACTAACAAGCAACTAGTTAATAGGAATAATTGGTCCCTAAATTGTTTTCATATGCATTCAATTTGATAGATTGGGATGGTATAGGGGAGTGAATCATGCATAAAATTTAATCAACAAACTACAAGCATAGATAAATGCAATAAAGCAAAGAGAAAAGCAAGACAAACAGTGCTTTTCTATATGTAAATGTAAAAAATACACTGCAAAGTCAACTCAACATTGCATATCTTGCCATGTGACTATTGCAGATGCACACATTGTGATATTGATGCTGAAATGAAACAATTATTGTAATTTGATAGATATTACTGTGCAACAGTTATGGTAACACTTTATTTTGATGGTCTATTTGAGTATTAGTAGACTGTCTGCTTAATATCTGTTGATACTGCTTCTTCAACAGACATTTACTGACTATAAGAAACTTGTACATGTCAACTTACACTAACCCTAACCTCAACCTAATAGTCCACTTATAATCTAATGAGAATTAGTTGCAATGTAACTTAAATTCAAAAAACGAACCTTTAAAATAGTGTGACCACAGTTATTTATTCATTTGTGGATAGTTGTGGATATTCATCATAGTTGTAGTTCATTTTATGAGGAACTAGGTACATACTGTATTAGGCTACTGCTTCATATTTCTTCAATCAAGGAACTTCCATTTTGTGTTATAGTGTTTAACACTCTCTTGATCCTCAAAGAAGATTTCGTTTTTTTGTTCAAGTGTATCACAGTGGAAACACTGCTCTATACTTTACAAGAGTCTCTTCTCTTACAATTTGATAGCTTAATAGTACACTAATAACAGCATTCAGCGCCAGACGACCCGTTTCACACCAGCTTTTTAGTCTACAAACTACCGTCTGCCTCCATGTCAGGGCGTTTCCATGGCTACATGTTTGACATAATAACAGTGCATGTTTGATCGCTCCTATAAGGTCAGTACTGAAATGCACTGTAAAACCCAAATAGTTATGGTTACTCAAACTGTTTGAGGAAACCGATCGCAACAAACCATTTAAGTTCAAAAACTAATCCTCATGAGTACTTTGAACTTACTCCATTTGAGTAAATGAAGTTATTTGAGCACAGTAAAATCCAATAAATGAAGAGAACTCAAACCAGCTGAGTACTGTAAAACCCAATAAGTTAAGGCAACTCAAATCATTTGAGGAAAGCAATTGCAACATATCATTTAAGTTAAAAACTAATTTATACGAGTACTGTGAACTTTAAGTTGAAGTAATGAGGTATTTAATTAGCTTTAACACTGAGTTTTAAACTCTTTTCAAATGAATTTAAACAACTTTTAAGTAAATTTTGAGTTGACGACTAAAGGAATGGTTACAAACACACACTGTTTTGGATTGAAATGACTTGAACGTATTAGTTTGATCTCATTGATCCCTTTTGATTTTGCACACACACACACACACACACACACACACACACGCACGCACACACACACACACACACACACACACACACACACACACACACACACACACACACACACACACACAGACACACACACACACACAGACACACACACACACACACACATTTGGAGGTATGAAAGTTTGCACATCCCACGATGACATTAGACTTTTATCACATGATGTATATATGAACTGTGGAAAGAGGTATTTTACCTATGCAAATCGTCCAGCTGTTAATTCAAATGAAATAGCGAATGCCGTCAAACGCAATTCATAGCCCTCAATCTACATGCACTTTATAACATAAAGAGGTCACTTTTCAATAAAACCCTTTCAGGCAATACTATCCTGCCCATCAGCAGCAAAGGACATATTTGAATGAGGGATAGGCAAATTCAAGAATTACTCAATGCTGTAAGACAGCTGATATATATTTACATGCAAAAACAGGTATACAGTGTTCAGCTTAATTGAGTACACCTTATTTGAGAATGAATGTTTGTATCCATTTCTCAGTGAATATAGGCAATGTATTTTGGTGCATTTGAACTAAACAGATTTATTAAACAGATATATTATTAAAACAATATTTTAGTCACCAAACATATTTAGAAGTTGAAAGATAATACAATTAAATTCAAACAAAATATCGCAAAATAAGACTGCAACCTACAAAATTTCAACTAAATATGTCTTATTTTTGCTTCTCTTGATTTTTTTTTCTTTTTTAAAATTTGTATTTAATATTTTTTTTAACATCAATTTGGATTTACTCGTTTTTGGATCGTTATCGTAAGTTATTTTGTTAGATTAGCTTCAGATTTAGCTTCAGTACTGACTAATCTGTATATGCATTTATATATGCTGAGCACTGCATTTGTCAGGGAATTGAAGCTGAAAATGAGTCATCAATCATGAATGAATTCTCAGTTCTCAGTTCATCTACATAATTTTTCGAATTCATCCAGTTCAAGTGAAGAAGTATCTGTGAAATATATTATTATTGCATGTTTTACATAACCACAACATGCCTTGTATATTATTGTTACAGAAGAGTTACATCACAGCAGTCTCTCTAAATCTACAACGTATAAAAGCAAATCATCTGAACGTTTTGTTTCAACATAACATTACTGCAAATTAAAACAAGTGTTTATGTAGTGCAGTGCTATTTTTGACTATAGTGTGAGAATAAAATCACAAAGTAATGCAAAAGTAAACAGCAACACAAAACACGTAATTAAAAAAAGTGTCTTACCTCTGACGCCCTTTACATAACGCAAGAGTGTGCGCTGATGAAATGCTGGGCACCAGTTGTGGTGCTGACTTGCATATAAACTCTTATTTTCATTCCTCCTACTCTCTCTCAGTCTCTCCCACTCTCCTCTCGACTCTGTCTGATGACTGATGCACTCTCTCTCTCTCTCTCTCTCTCTGTGTATCTCTATACTCTTGCTATCCTCTTTCTGTTCAATATGTATATTCTTGTTTTATAAATAATTTTGGTAACATTTTAAGTAACAACTCTGGCTTATTACCTGCCTGTTATTAAGCTATTGGCTGATTGTTGGTACTTATAAAGTACATATTCTGCACGATTGCATACATACAGTAATACCTAAACCCAAT